ACACACACATATATATACACCAAATACAATAATGTTATCTATATAAATATATACACTGTACTTACATTCACTTAGCATAACTTAGCTAAGTTAGCATTATAGTGTTCAAAACTTACTGCAAATACAAATATCAAAATTTTCTCCTAAAGCCACTATATGAAACAGTACAATGGAACTCAACTCTGAACAAGACCACGGAGACACATTTGGAATGTGAGAAGTGTTATAGCTTACATAATGACATCGACTTTGGTTCAATTTTTCTGAATAGCTGCTGTGGCTAACCAGTCGATTCTATTTTCGTGTGCGTAACTTGTTGATAGTATACGGTGAATGCGTAATATAACATTAATTATGTGCAGTTATAGAACGAACCAATGTTCGTTCAGTAATTGGGGGAAGGGCTCGCTCTTCACATACATTGTGAAAATGAAATATATTTTTGGCCAGGACGAATTAGCTCACCCAGAGATTTTTTTAAGGTATATGAAATGGCACTCGAAACGAGATATTGTTATGAAAATGCTTTCTAAAATGTAACATAATTTTATTTAAAAATTAATATAATGTATGTTTTCATTTATCTTCAACAGTTCAAAATTAATTTTAATAACTTTCATATTTAATGCAAATTATCCTTTATAATACCTTCCTATATGTAAAATACCTTTATTATTATTATCGAAAAAGCATTTTTTATTTATCTGATTTAATTACATAGATAGAACGAATTATGTATTGTGTTAGAAATTCTTAGAAGGATCCATTTAATCAAATTTTATCTATTTAAAATATTATCCAGCAGGGGTAAGTGTTGAGCCTTCAGCCGGAGCCTTGGTTTGACGTCTGTCATTTGGCGTTTGTTATTTGTTAGCTTATTAGCTTATTGCAGGCTAGTAATACTGCGTACTGTCTTGTGGATTCATGAATGTATTTTTAGCAAACACTGTGACCTAATAGTTTGCTTCGGTCAAACACATTTGATTGTAAAAACCGAAGGCAATAATCATTTAAACATAACATTCCTGAGAGGTAAACATTTTTGCCTGCTGGTATACAAATTTAGACTAAGGGAATTTTGCCTTTTTATAGTACTGTTTATGTTGTAAACACTAATGTAAACCCATATGTCCAACTACACATCACACGTGACATATTTGCCCATGAGAAACTTTATTTCAAGTATCAAGTTTTCTAGTTTTTTGTCTTTTCACGTTTTAACTGCGGGCACATTGTTTCACTGTTTTTTAGGCATCTGACCTGGTCTCATATTACACTGACCCAGATTGACAGCACAATGGCTATTATTCATAGTGCAGTACTGTGTTGATGTTCAGGATTTTGATGTTGCTTTGATTGTTCTTGTTACCATTACTATTTTGACATTTTGTTATTGTGCCTTATAACACAGAAAGGGATGTGGGTGGAAGATACCTGTAATAAATAACCTTTAACTTGTTATTTATTGTGGGGAAAAAAATCACAATTAAATACATTTTTATTTTAGGTAAATAAAAAAATGACCTTATGTGACTATGTACCACTCCTCTAGCCCCTAGTCTCTGGCATGCAGAAAGAAAAAAAGCATCAAAACAGCAGGTTGACCCAAACAAAAGACAGTCATTTAACACTACTGTTTGTGAGAGTTGTAGTTTCTGCCCTCTCGCTGCAGAATCATGTTTTCTTTGTTTCTGTCTCCAGGTTTGCTTCTAAAGTATCAGTCAAAGTTTCTGTTTGTGCTGCAGTCACTCTGATAAAGACAAAACCACGGATTCTTTTTAAACACTGATTTATTGACACTGTACAGCTGCTTTGGTTGATTATTTCCATTGGACAACTTTGATCAAAAGATAAAAAAACAACAACCAGAAAATCAAAAAGTATTCGTATACAGCCAATATTTAATCTAACAATTAATTGCATCATACTATCAGGATCTAAGAAAGTTGATATTTGTATTTTGAAAAATCTATTGAAAAAAAGAAAGAAAATAAATTGATAAAAAAAAAACCTTTAGGTGAAAAATATCGCTTTTATCCAAACTACCATTTCCATTTGGGAACTATGCTACAGTACATATGTGTGCTTCCTGGACCCTAAATAATTATGTGTTGGAACAGAACAATGTTGTTTCCTGTTACCCAAATATAGGCTGTTTTAAAGCAGCCTACATGAACCTGACAGACAAACACATACAGGTTGTGAAGACTAATGCTGGTTAAGGTGTCTTTAATTCAATACCCAGGATACTAACATAGAAATAAACATTTTACTTATTACTTTTCATTTGAATAACAATAAACTACACATCTAACTTGGATTGGCTTTGGTTGTCCGGTGAGACATATATTACTACAAAAAGTACTTCTCCAAATGTACTAAAACCTAGGCAGCATGTCTTGTTGTGTCCCGAAGGGTTAATTTGAGATGAGAATTAGGTCTGATGTCGTGGGTACAAGTTTAATGGAGCCAACACACAGTAGAATATGAGAACAACACGATTACTGTCATTTTAATGACAGAGACAGACATTTGACAAGATATTTGTCAGCCAAATTTTTTCCGGTGTTTTTCCAGAACAATGTTTTTCCATGTGTCGCTATAAGAATAAAGACATTTCTGACTGTGCTTTAACTGGATCTACAGGAGCAACGTGGGAATGAACTGCTCCACAGTCAGTAAACTCTTTGGCTTTTTTCCCTTTTGTAGTCAACGCTGACTCACTTCTTGCGTTCCTCGATCTGCTCCACCTCACTGGACTCATCCACCACTTTACCGTTTATCATAGTCTGAGTCACGACTTTTACAATCTTCCTGGTCCGTACATCGGGGTCTTCTGTAACAAAGGGAGGATGGCACCAGGCTTAATCACTTTATTTTTATTTTTCTCTTCTAAAGAACTAGTATTAAAGGGTTTATCTTTAATGTGTGGAGACATAAAGGATTTGAGTGGATTTGAACTTACTTTTAGGTGGAGGAGGAGTTTCTTTGACCCTGTAGGACAGAATAATATGATTACTAAAAATGAAAATACATACAAACTCAAATTTATTTTACTATGCCCATTTGTTTTTGTGTAAAACTTAGCAAATTATTTCACTTTTAATGCATTGTCTTTCAATGCATGCATCAATCAAGTGTTACGTTAACTTTTGATGTATGATTGGTGCCGTCAAAAAGTGAACTTCCTCAGTTAATAGCTGCAGTATCTCACATACATTTCCTCTCCTTCCAGCAGCCTCCTGTAGGTGGCGATCTCCATCTCCAAGTTCTGCTTAATGCGCAGAAGCTGTTCGTAGTCAGTCTTGTTGCGTTGCATGTCCAGACGCATCTGTGAGAGTTCGTCCTCCAGCTGGGTGAGTACGATCTGGAGACGATCCATCTCCAAGGAGTATTTGTGATTGGTTTCTGACAGGTTTCCCTCCAACACGGCAACCTGATCAGAAACAGATGATAATCAATTATTAATAACACTTCCACTGATGCAAACATTAGCACATAAATACATTTATTGTCATTGTACTGTACATATACTGTACACCATGGTGAAAGGAAATGGATGTTTATCCGGCACACTCGCTGTTGTGTGCCGGATAAACATCCATTTCCTCCAAGGTGGAATTTGAACTTGCAACTCAAACCCATCCTATTCTTAGCTACAATAACCCATTTGTCTATAAAGCTTACGAGGTTTGGGACACCTTCATGAACAGATAAGGCAGAACTGTCTTATTTGAAAATATGTTGCTGTTTTGGCTGAACTCTATAAACCAGTGATTCCCAAAGTGGGGAAGGGATCCCTCTTGAGGGGCATGTTGTTATTGCATAGGGTCACAGCAGGTCAAGTCTAGTAAAATTACATTTACAATTACAATTCTTTTTACTAGTAATAGTTTTTTTAGCAGCAAATTTGAATCAATAACTGTGTGTGTGTGTGTGTGTCCGGGGCCTCAACAATAGTCCTATCGATAAAAGGGCTGCGCTGTAGAAACAATTTAGGAAACCATAGCTTTTACAGTGAACAGCTGATGTCTATCTGTTTCCCTACTGACTCTGACCTTTAATTGTGTGTGTCTGTCAGCGGAGACACTTTTGTTGACCTCACAAAGACACCTCTCAAGTATGACCAACCCAGCCATCCTTTTATGTGTTTACCTGCAGCACAAATCCTTTAACACCCAGCCTCCACCCCCCAGTCCACCCCTCACCAAACCGTAGACACTGTCAGCATCATGATATCTCTGCATTCACTACTGTTAGCTCACTATCAGGCTGAGCAAACATCCATAAGCTGTACAGTACTTGCCAGCACCTTCAGACTCTTAGTGATCTGCTTAGTGATTGAAACAAACGCGGCGCAGATGTACTGCAGACGTAAGTGTTTAAACATGTCCACAGCCTTGAATTCAATGTAGATGCACTAATCTATGTGGAAGTTTTATTATCCTTATAGAACAACGGGGTGAAACGAGGAGCAGCTGCTTCCTTCACCAGTTAGCACAATAGCAGCAAGTCATCCACCACCAGCTTACCCCATTCTCTGCATTCTGCCCATAAATGAGTCAGTAGTAACTGGACTTCAGACCTAAGTTCCAAGACAGCTGCATCTGCAACGTACTTTATCCAGAAGCCCGATACTTCTCCTCATCCAAACCATGTCATATTAACTCTAGCTGCATTATATGAACTTTTTGCCAATGTCCGACATGCCCATATTGTCCAAACATATAATTTTCGAGACCGATATCAACCAATACCGATATAGGCCTGGTAATATTTATTTATTTATCTGTACAAACCACTCTATGAGTATGAGCTTAATCAAATGAGCTGCAATGCTGCCATCTAGTGACTTTCACTTTAATATACAGCCATTTATCCCCAAAACTATCTTTATGGGACACATCATTTGGCGAAACACAAGCATTGCCTTATCAGGTTTTAATAATCGGAAAAAAATGATAATGATTCTTACAGATATTTCATAATATTCCAATATCGGAATAGGGATGTCGGCCGATATTATCGGACATCCCTATTCTGATCCCATCCATCCTGCTCAGTTGCAAAGACAATGTTGACACAATATGATTCTGATTCTTTCCGTTCAGCCTCATCTCTTTGAGACAGCGTCACTATTTCTGAACCACTCACTCCATCTACATGAATTGAATTTGGTGCCATACCTGTTTGCGAAGGTTATCCAGTTCAACCTCTAGAGCCTGCAGGAAGCGTCGCCTCTCACTGAGCTCAGTTTGGGCACAACGCAAAGCCTCGTTACTTTCCTTGACCTCAGATTGCACTGCCTCCAGCTGTGGACACACACATTAGATGTACCGCGTCGTCTAATGTATAGAACATAAAAAAACAGTATTACACAGTTACAGTTTCAGTACGCAATAGAGACTCACCTTCTTCAGGTACCAGGTCTCGGTGTCCTCCTTGTTCTTGCGAGTGATGCCTTCATACTGGACCCTTAGCTCAGCCAGTGTGGCCCCTAGATCTGAGCTCTGAGCCGCATCGACCTCCACGTTCACCTGCTCATTGGCCAATCGGGCCTTGATAGAATTCTTTTCCTAATGTCATTTTTTTGAGAAAGTTAAAAAGAAACCATGTTCATTTTTTGTCACTACCTATTGACTTTCCTACAGTAGATTTAGGCATGATTTACATTGTGCAGTTCATTGAGCTCTAGTGTCACAACTTTCAAGTAGCTCCTAACATATCAGCTGGTGTTTAACGTCAACAAAACTTACTACGAGGAAAGCTGAGTCTACATCCTGGAAACCACACCTGCCTGTCTAAATATGCACACTGCATACACCTGATGGACTGAGGGCTGCTGTGATGTGTGCATGACTGCTATCAGGAAGCGTCATGTCAACAAAGAGAAAGGGTGTGTCCACACACTGGAAATGATCATTTTTCAGATACAATTAAACCCTGTGGTCTGACTGAGTAACCAAACACAACTGGCCTTAGCGTGGAATTCACAGTGGACTGTTTCAGAGATGCCATTTGTGCCAGAAAATAAATACAATTCATTGTTTTGTTTTTTGTTGGTGTTGGTGCAGGTGACCTTTCTACTGCTACTACTCCACCTGTTAAGCTGTTACTAGGTCATTGAATTGACCTCTCACCTGTTACAGAGATCTCACCTCGTCATGGTTCTTCTTCAGGAAGTAGAGCTCCTCCTTCAGGCTGTCCAAGTCTCCTCGCAGTGTGGCAATGATCTGGTCGTGATCTGACTTTGCTCTCCTCAGGGCCTGACAGTCCCTTTCCACTGACTGGCACAATGTAGCCTCTGCCTCCCATCTTAAGGAGAAATAGATGTCAATGACAATGTAGCGACAACTGTACAAACCAGACTTTCTTTACATTAGTTTTTCAATTTATTGTTTTCATTTTAGGTGTGATAAATATGAAGGCCACCATTATTGTTTTAAAGTTTCCCAGCCCTGTCATGGGAAGGGTTATTTAGAAAATAAAGAAAACATAAATTTAGGTGGTTGTTTAAAAGCAATTCATCACACTGAACAGCTGACAGACAGGATTTTTATTGATAATATATTTTTTCTTATATTATTATTTTTTCTTATTATTATATTATATTATATTATATTATATTATATTATATTATATTATATTATATTATATTATATTATATTATATATTATATTATATTATATTAAACTTTAATTGACATGAATACCGAAGCATAACTGAAAAGACTGGATTAGAATCTACAGTGAAGTTGAGGCTGGGATCCAGATGTTTGAGTACACATGCACTTTGCCACTGACATCATGAATCACTGCCAGTGGATGTTATGCTCCTTCACCATCCAGCTTCAGAACATACCATCATTAGGATGTGAACAGTAGCAGTGGGTGCATCCTTCACCCTGCCAGCTCTGTGCTCTTTAGAAACAGACTTTGTCTCTGTGACTCCAGTAGTCTGTCACGTCCACATACAGACACCACAGTTGTTTGTTTGCCATGGGTGTCTGAGCAGTGTGGGAATGGGGCTCTTGTTTCATAGGCCTGGCTGAAAGGTCATTTATTCACATTGCTTTACAGACTGGCACTACTGTGTGAACACAGAAGGCAGTCAGATAAAGGCACCTTTGTGTGACACTCACTTGACCCTGAAGTCGTCTGCTGCCAGCTTGGCATTGTCAATTTCCAACATGATACGAGCGTTCTCCAGAGTTTTCTTCCTCACCTGGGAACAGGCAACATGGAAATTTATTTCCGATCTGTCATGGACTTTGATTCTAAGTTAAGATATATATATAAAAAAACAAAAAACAAGAGACTCGACCAAGAGTCCAACATCACATCAGCTCTCAATGATTTAACAGTGACGTGATCACTGCGTTTCAGCATATTTATTAATATATGCACTATAAAAAGCAGGGATGCTCAACATATGGCCCGTGGGCCAAAATCAGACCACTAGGATGTTCAATTGATGAATTTTGAAAAAAAAAAATACAAACACTTTTCATGAAAGCAAGTGGGAGAAACACAGATTATTGTAATTTAAAATGTATTATGTAATGATTGTAATGGTCCGGCCTACTAATTTGGTTACATCTAATGAGTTTGACATCCCTGATATAAAGGAGGGAAGAGGAGGGGATTAACACTGATCAAATTTTGATTTGTCTATTGACAAGTGTCTTGTCTAAAAATAATCATAAAAAATAAAATACTATAGAATTGTATGACAGAGTGGCCACCATTTAACACAGTTAGTGTATATATATATAAGTGTGTATAGTTTTACTACAGTAACCTCATTGTTAACACTCATTTTTCTGTTTTGTACACAGATCAACTTAACTCAATGTAAATCTATTTTTTAGTCATTCAAAAGTGCAGTGACGTCTTCAGATTTAATAGATCATACACTGACCTCCTGTCCAATGGCGTGTGCCTGGGCCATCATCGCCTCAATGTCATGACCTTTGGGTGTTCTTTCCATCATCAGCTGTTTGATCTTGACCTCCAGTTCTGCGTTGGACCTCTCCAGCGAGCGAACCTTATCCAGGTAGTTGGCCAGCCGGTCATTCAGACCCTGCATGGTTTCCTTGTCACTCGCACCAACACCAAGTCCATTGTAGGACAGGCTGGTGCCCAGCATGTTGAGACCATTGCCCACGGAGACAGAACGGGACAGAGACAGGCTGTTGACGGTGGACAGAGACGAGAGGGAAGGCTTGGAGCGTAGGCTGCGTCCGCTGTCCCTCATCGACATGCTGGAGAAGGAGGGTTGACGAACAGAGTAGCTGCGCATAGAGACGGTGGAGTTCATGGTTCCCTCTGCAGGGAGTCAAATGTTGTGGTAAGTTCCAACGTGGAAGATTATGTGTGCATTTGAGCAAAACAGAATTTTTTGGTGTGGAATTGCCAGAGAAGACATAGAGTAATTTTCTACTAGTTGTTTAATTCAAAGTTAAGTTTTATCGTTTCTACTTGCAGATAATTCTGACTCAATACTGATCATTAATGAAACCAAAAGAGGAAGTAAATAAAATGTTGGTACTTACTTGGAGATCAGTTTGTGTCTCTTCTGCTGCTTGTTCAGGTTTGGACCTAAATGATCTGAGTGACTATTGTCGTTTAACCCGATCACACAGGTGCAGAGAGGCAGGACTCTCTGTTGGTCAGGGTGGAGTCGCTGTTAAAGAGTCCATGCCCACAGCAACAGTGAGGAGGATGTAACCTGACACCTTGTAAGGAGCTTAAAAAAAAACAAAAAAAAAAAACCTACCATGAACATAAACTAATGTACTGACATCATTTAAATGCAGCCAATTGAGTGCAGGATTACATGTTTGTAAAAATCAACTATTTGCACCTGTTAGAAAAAATGTTGTTGAAAGAAAATATAAAAAAAAAAAATTTGCTAAAATAGATCATTTCTGCACCAATTGAATCATAACTTATTGATATTAATTGATTATCAAACCTAATGATGGACAGAAAAGTACTCTTCAGACATTGTCTTCAACACTGGGTTTGCAATGTTATGCAAATACGTGTTTATGTTTTTACATTTTACAAGTTTAAAAACATAAACATGTGAATAAATTAAAATGTCTATTTTTACAATAGACATCAATAGTAGTTGGTCCCCGCTCGATCAACTCCTTCAGATTGGAGGTCTTTAGCCTGAATGTCAGAGACACTTTTTTCTCAGCCGTTGAAGACTGCAGATGTTCTTCTCTTGGCTTCTTCCTGTCTTTCAGTCTCTCTGTCATCTAGTCTTTCTTCCTTGTTTATTTTGCATTAGATTTACAAGTATATGTAAACAAAACCTCATCATTATTTGCATTGTGAGCTGAATTTTAAGTGTATGCCCTTGCAGGTTGCTATAGAAATATCCTGGATCAGGATGGTGGGATGTACAAGGTCTGAACCTTAGGAACACACTTCATGAGGTGTTTATTTTAGTGAAAATATTGACTTATTGATGCTTTAAATCACCTTCCTCTGTCATTTTAACAGTAGGAAGTCCAATGAGACAAATTTGTGAATATGGGCTATACACATAAAACTGATTTTACTTATCGTTTAAACCCATTGAAGAAGAGGCACAAAGGAGGTTAGCAGAATTAGCTTAGCCGTGAAGGACACTGATTAATGTAGACAAAACATCTCTAAATAAAACTTTTTTGGATCCCTGTATGTAATTCCAACATTATGTAAGACAAAAAATATTTTAATTTAAAAAAATATTAAACAGGGAAGTCATTTTAACAAAGATAGAAGTGTACAACTTCATAACACAGCGAGGGCACTATGCTAATGATTTATTAGTTTATTATATTATATATGTATATTATTAGTTATTAGTGTCTACAGTCAATAAAGTAAAATGAAAATAAAATTTGACTAAATTATATTACATTTTCCCAGTTACAAATATAATGTAAACTTTGTTGAAACCTTTGAAAATGTCAGTAAAAATACAGACCGGCCAAACGGGCCACAGACCACTTGATATAATGACATAAACAAACCCACGGGTCCAACATGGAGTTTAACCTGTGCAGCTCAGGGACTGCAGTCTTTCCTCACTGATCCCATTAATCTTTACTACAGTAAAATCCAGAGTGAGGTGAAAGGCTGGCTTCACCTGAGGACGCCCCATAGGGTGGAGAGAAACCAGAGGAAGCAGGAGACAATGGAGGGACAGAATGAGCAGAAAGCGAAGACCCCTGAGAAATGCAGGGCGTAGGTCTGAACGAACTGGAAACCCAGCTCATATTCAGCCACAGAGCCAGAAACACACACCTTTTTTTGTACATCTGATAAGTGTCAACTATCTCACTCTCTCTCTCGCCCTCCTACAATATGTAATGCCCCTTTACTGTACTGCTAAATTCCTCTGCCGAGCATTATTCTCTGTACAGGATCAAATCACAAAAGTGACACTGACCTGGTTTGAGTGTTTGAAATGCCACTCTACCCATCCTGCCCTGCCTAGCACACACACACACACACGCGCACACAGAAAGAAGAACATCTTAAGAAAAGGAACATCTTAAGAAAAGGAACTTCAGTCAGGAAATAAGGTCTGTAATCTGGTGATATCATCAAATAAACAGTAAATGAAGGGGGTGTAATTTCAGTGTTGATTACATTGAGGACCTTTCACTGTGTGAAGTTCCTTTTGTTCATTTTGTAATCTGAATATTCTCATCTATCGCCCTGCAGAGTGACAAGACACACTGACATGAACGCTGTAAATCCATCCAGATGTGAACACCACCAGCTTCAGTCATCTCTAACAAAACTGTTATTTAACGTCCCGTGTTTTGTAATGAGAATTATCTTATCTTATTTTTTTAAAAAGAGATAAAATTCCCATAGGAATTATTACAAAAACCATACAAATGTCTACTTCCTCAGGTTTTTTTGGGACTCGGGTTTTGGTTTCAGCAGATGCAGCAGATAAAGGTTTTCACGATCCACCCTGAGTAGAATGTAGCATAGACACACTGCCTCCCTGTGGCATATTTATGTACTCCATCACCTTTAAGCGATATAACATAGAAACAGAAGGAACACGAACTATGAAGTTGTGATTCGGGGGGGCAATGTGGGGGGGGGGGTGTCCTATGTTTGTTAACTTTAGTTCACAATTAAAATTAAAATTGAAATTAAATAAACACGTCGTAACAACGTTCCTTGTTGTCCGCTCCTATGGCGTCTCATACATACAGTATGTGTCCCTGTGCTGTCTCTACAGGACAGGACTTTTACGATGCCGCTCGTATATCATTTTTAGACACGTCATTGTTCTGCTAGACACAGTAAGGAGACGCGCATTTATCTGATTGTAATTCTAAAGGTTTACCACCAGATGTCCCTCTGTGTAAATCTATTTACTTATTTATGATCAAGAGTTTTTCCAATATCTTAAATCTGCAAGTGACTGAGAAAACTCCTTAGGAAGAGATGTCTTTCAACCTTTAAACCCAGATCAAAAAATTATTTTATTGTTTTACAAATGCTGTAGTGAATAAAGTAAATGATGTAATATGTAGTAATACAGTGAATATTACATAATTTAGTTTATTCACCACAGTATTTGTAAAACAATAAAATAGTGAACAAATGTTTAATTGATCTGGGTTTAAAGATTGAAATTATTTAATAATAATTGTTACATATATATTAAGATTATTAATAATTAAATTATGTAATATGTAGTAATATAGAGAATCAGAGTTAAAGATGCAAAGATTCGCTTTAGGAGAGACAAGAATGGACAGGATCAGGAATGAGGTCATTAGAGGGACAACACAGACAGGAAGGTTTGGAGAAAAAGCTAGAGAAGCCAGATTGAGATGGTTTGGACATGTGCAGAGGAGGGACAGTGGATATATTGGTAGAAGAATGTTAGAGATGGAGCTACCAGGTAGGAGACAAAGAGGAAGGCCAAAGAGGAGATATATGGATGCAGTGAGGGAGGACATGCAGATAGTTGGAGTCAGAGTAGAAGATGTAGAGAACAGGGAGAGATGGAAATTGTTGGAACTGAAAATTACGTTATTCAGTCACCACTATTGTCATCTAACTGCCACAGATAGAATGACCTGAAAAGAACCACACCTGACAACGTTGTACATTTTACTCGCTGCGAGGGGGAGCAGAGAGACCAACAGCTTCTCAGAGCTGGCTCACCTAAGTGTATGACTGCAGCTTCTTTTATTGAGAAAGTTTCACAAGTACTGCACAGTTGTTTTTTCTTTACATTTTACTCTTAGAGCAAAGTTCATCCAATTCCCATACTTGATGAGGAACAGACCTCATCCTTTATGGACCTACATTGTAAAAAACCTTTCTAGGAGTACCTACTCCTGTCAAGCAGACCATTATTTAACACAATTAGATAACAGTTTATGGTTCAACACACTTTGGTTTAACACACTTTGGTAACTAACTTTAAATTCTATTTACATTTCCCTCCTGTTTATCAAAGTGAACACATCACAAGTATGTCATCACAATGTCATGTATTGGAATCATACATGAGTGTCAACAATCTTCGCGTTGCCAGTCATCTATTGGGTTTTCAATTCCATTTATATTATAAACATTTTTTATGGTGTTCTATCCATACCAAACGTCCTATGACAAAGTTGTCAAAGAATACAACAACAAGTGTTGATACTACAATTCGATACATTGATCCTCCGGCCATCATGGCGGACATCTGCCGCTCCCCTAAACTGATGGGATGTGCTGTTTTCTTCACTGACGCAGCCGATGCCTTGAGACGAGTAAGTCTATCCTACTTACTCC